AGCTTCTGACGGCCACAGCTGTCGCGCAGACTTGCCATATGCCTCTTAAAGGCACATGCATATACGGTGACGCAATACAATACGTACAGTATTTTCTCGACATTTTATGCTTTTGCGAAATGTTTTTGAGTGTGTCACCGTGTTTATTGCGAAGCTTCAGCTCCTGCTAAACGGCGGTTTACTGAGGCCTTTTCGTCGTTCCCGTTTTAAATACCGTTTTTTTTTTTTGAACGACTTTTTTTTCTCCGCAATGTCTCTCCCTTGTTTTCTGTGATCATAAGGAAAAAGCCCAAATGACTTTAATCTAATTGAGAGAGTGCGGCTGATAACATGCGGCCCATTTACATTCTCCGGGGCGTTCTGCAGTTGGCTGGAGCCGCGTCTGTGATGAATGACGGATCATGATGCATTAAAGCCCTATTGCACTCAGCTGCACATTTGAGTCTCTGCAGCACGCTTTTCCCTCGGGCCATCTGTTTTCCTCCCCTGATTAACAGGCAGTAAATCTGAAAATGTGGCGCTCAGTGATGCGCTGTTGCTACAGTGACAGTGGCGCCGTGTTTTCCTCCAGCCTACTTACACAATTTCTCCAACTGTTTTGTTTGACACCGAGTGTTGATTTTGACTGGGTTTTCTTCCGCGACTGGAGCTTGTGTTGATGCGTTGCCAACTCTAATGGGGATTGCATATTTGTGTGTTCTAAATGTGTTCCATTACTACTGTTCATAAAACATGGTTTTACTGCTGCTGTTCTCGGAAAGAAGCAGAGAGAATACCATCCCATGATGCATCACTGCACCAATACTTACTAGACAGCAGTTACTACTTTCCTATTAGCCCGAGTGCTGGCGCCATCTAGGGTGTTACAGAAAGAGCACAATATGAAAAATGATTTTCTGCAAATAGCTTGATGTAGATTTCCCAGGCAAAAAGCAAATAGATGGAATGCGCCAGGTACTGCTACCCTAATGCTAATGCTAATTAGCATCCATGTTTCAGTGCTGCACCGCCAGCAATGGATTGAACACAAATGTTGAAGAACATCTAGATGGATAATATAACGATATTCACACTCATATTCTTTATCTGTACATTGAATGTCAAAGAATAGTGCCGTACTGATGAGCTCAAAGTGTAGTTGAGATATTAATCTGATTTCCACTAGCGTTCAAGGCAGGACAGGGCCCCGCCTCAATATGAACGGCCGCAAAGAGAGTGTGGTTTATACTCACGGCTCACTGAACAGTATACCCGTCTGCCTTATAGTGCCCCCTAGGGGTTCAATTGATGTAGTGTGATAAATATATATTGTTTGAATTATATTTAATTATATAATTACTGGGTATTTTTATTTTGGTGAGGTTTGAACAGATTAATGGCATTTGCATTCATTTCAATGAGAAAGGACGATTTGAAGCAGTACAAGAGTTTAAGACTATTCAAGAAAAACAAGCATAGTGGAACATTAAAGTACAACTAATGACAACTTGCGTTTTCACGATTTTTTTTCAACTCGTAGAAAAAGAACAGTGTTAATTCGGCATTCACTTTTGGATCACTTTTGTTGCCTTTTGGTCGAGACTTGTAGCAAGGTGCGAGAAGACGCGTTTCAATCGGAAAAAAATGCCATCCTGTGGGTCAGGTTCAGCAGTGGTGGGCTGCAAAGTTGGTCTTTTCAAGAGGTGTACAGAAAAAGAAGAGATATCAGGAGAGCGGTGAGAGCTAATGAGCTGGATTTTGCCGGAGACTTGGCATTCTGCTCATCTCGCTGCTGTGTTAGATAGAGCGAGCTGGCTCCAGCGAGCTTCCTGTCTGCGCCCTCAAGCAGGAGTAAATGAGGGCTGGGTGTCGGGGAGGGGGATGCGGT